GCAGACTTGCTTCCCGTGGGGCAGCCGCCTCCGTCCCGTGGTGCCACCTCCGGGCAGGGTGGCCGTTGCAAACGATGCAGTCAAACAGCAGCGGGGAGGCTTCAGGGGGGGCGATGGAGGAACTTAGAAGCCGGGCAAAACGCAACCCCAAATATCCCTGTCTCCTCGGGGAGGGCGGCTGCGGGAGCACGCTCGGGCTTTCAGCAGAGCTCCCACCGGGTCTTGGCTATAAGACGGCGCATCTCTGCAGTGGCGCACGCGTTGGCACACACCCGTGGCCTCGGCCCCTCCTGAGGTCACCCCACTGCGTGCATGTGTCCGCGTGCAAGCACCCCTTCTGGGGCAGAGCACCCAAAGCCAACCGGCCCCGAGGGGAACGCCGGGGAAGCCAGCGGAGCCGCCCCGGCCGTGGCTGTTGCCCACGGTGGCACTTCGGTGTGGAAATGCGCTGCATTGCTACAAGTTGTCTTTGTTTTCCTGGCGAGGCAGCTCCTCGTATTCCGTATCCTTCCCAGCGCGTGAAAGCCAACCCATCAGCAGCTCAGGAGGAGCCCAGCTGAGGACCCATCGCTGTGCGCACCGCTGTCCCCCAAGCTGGCTCTCCCACCCTGACTCCGTACGTGCCACCACCCCGCTGCAGCTGGGAGCAAGTGGGGAGAGGAGAGCGAAGGAAGGACAACCCCGCTGTCCCCTCAGATGCTCGTCTGCAGGTCACCATTGAGCAGGGTCCTTTGGGTTTCTGTGGTCTCGTTGAGCCTGGATTTGTCCTGCTTGCTGTCGCTCCGGTCCGCCTCGTCCATGCCGCTGACCTTCACCAGGCAGAGGACGTTCTGAAAGCTCTTCTTGAAGTTGTCGGACAAGAAGGCATAAAGGATGGGGTTGGCACAGCTGTTGGCGTAACTGAGGACCACCACAAAGTCGAACATGCCCTTGAGGACAGGCGTGGGCACGATCAGGACGGAGACTGAGGAGACGTTAAAGATGTAGAAGGGGAGCCAGCAGAAGATGAAGACAGCGACCACGATGGAGACCATCCTGGTGACTTTCTTCTCGGACTTTTTCCTCTTGGAGGAGCCCACTCTGATGCCCGAGGACTTGACTTTGATAATGATGAACAAGTAGCAAAGGCAGATAATGGTGAGAGGCACCAGAAAGCCCAGGATGAAGGCGTAGATGATGAAGCCCGTGTACCAGGCACCCGACTCTCCTGGCCAGATGATGGTGCAGCTACTCCTGCCGTGATTGTGCTGCACCCCAGCATAAATCATGATGGGCATGATCACCAACAGGGAGACTCCCCAAACGGCCACATTGATCATTTTGGCTGTCCTGGGCCGCCTCCACTTGGCAGATTTAATGGGATGGACGACAGCCAGGTACCGGTCAACGCTCATAACCGTCAAGCAGAAGATACTGGTGAACTGGTTGATCCCGTCCACCGTCATGACAATTCTGCAGATGGCTTTGCCGAAGGGCCAGTGCACCAGGGCGACCTGCATGGCCAGGAAGGGCAAACCCAGCATGAAGAGCTCGTCTGCGATGGCCAGGTTGAGGATGTAGATGTTGGTGATGGTCTTCATCTTGGCGTAGCGGAGGATGACATATATGACCAGGGTGTTGCCGCACAGCCCTATGATGCAGACCACAAAGTAGATGAAGGTGAGGATGGCGTTGCTGGTCAGGTCGAAGTGATGGCCCGTGGCGTTCTGCGACGTGTTGGTGGGCGCTTCCACGGAGAAGTTGTCAAAGGGGGAAGCCGGGGAGAACCAGAACGCGGTGGCGTTGGGCAGCTCGTATTCCAGCTCCATGGCTCTGCCGGTCCCTGGGCACTGCTGGTTCAGAGGAGCCGAGATGTCATCTTCCCTTGCCCTGGGGATGGAGGAGAAGATTCTAGAAATCAGAGAACACACAGAAATGAAGGGATCCCTGGGGAGGATTTGCCCGTCCTGCTGCCAAGCTCTGTGGGAGAGATGCTCCCCGGAGGGGCTTTCCCCAAACCACCTTCCCACCTCCCCTCCGGAGCCCGTGCGGTGCCCAGCAGCGGACACACCACAGCTCCTCCCGACTCCTGTGGCACCGTACTCCTTACGGCTCCCCCAAATCCAACCGCTGAGTCCCGCGGTGGGTGCGACTGACACCGGGAGCACCGGGGGCAGCGGGAAACCCTTTCCCCTTCCCTCCCCGTTCGGCGGGGCGCCCGTCCCTTCCTTCC